CTTATGGATGCCCCTTGAGCTTATCTCCTCGCCTCCACTCCCTCTTTAGCATGCAGGTTAAGTAAGGTCATTCACACTGTGGCCGAGATGCCACTGTAGCAGCAGCCTGACTGCTGGAGCCCTGGGGCTTCCCATTCACCACCAGCAGGAGGGGTGTCTCCACGCGAACACTGGAAAAGGAATAGTCCTAGAAAAGACAAACAGAGGTTCGTTATAGATCCTAAGATGGAACAAACTCCTGCAGGGGGATATACCACCTGTGACTTTCTCCTCCTCTCTCCCTTCTCAGTATACACACCCCTTACCTCCATCTCACATTCAACAGAGCTGAGCTAACAAAGAGGATGTGATTTCCTCAAAGTTGTCAATCTTCAGAAGAAAAATCTGGGGCAGGTAGGGTGCCAGCAGTGTCACTACAAGAATGAGACAATTCTCTGATTCAAAAAAGACAGGTTCCTGGCACTGCCTAGCAAAAAGGTGCTTTCACAGAATCTTCCCTTCCCATAGTGTTTGCTGACAATTATAACTACATACACATAGCAGCCAGACAGAGCCAGTGGAAATTCTGGGAAATACTTAGTCCAGGTGTTTGTAGGGCTTTAAGTTAACCTGCCATATATAAAGTTACTTCTCCTTTTATTCCAAGAGAAAGAAACAGAATGTGTGGTTTAGACGTTCTCCTAATAACAGAAAAGATATCAGTTCACTTTACTCATATCTACTCTTGGTTATCTACCTTGGTAATAACTGGTACAACCTTCCAAAAACGAATTTGGCAATATGTAGCAAAAATGTTAGAATTCTGTATACCCTCTGGAGCCATTACTGTACATTAGAAATTCATTTAAAGAAGTAATCATGGATATAGGCAGATATAAAAATATTTACTACAGTGCTTTTTTTAACAGGAAAAAACTGGAAATGATCTAGATCTGGAGTCAGCAAATTTTTTGTGTATGGGGCCAAATAACAAATATTTTAGGCTTTGAGGGTCAGATCATATCATCTCTGTCACAGAAGATTTCAACTGACACTGTAGTGCAAAAGCAGCCACAGACAATAGTAAACAAATGAGTGTGACATTTTCTCAAAACTTTGATTCTAAACGCTAAAATTTGAATTTCCTATCATTTTCATATTATCGCAAACTATTACCCTTCTTTCAATTTTTTTGAAATTTAACTAACAGGCCATACAAAAACAGACAGTGACCCAGATGTGGTCAATAGGCTATAGTTTGCTGACCCCTGAACTAAACATAAAAAAGAAAGTTAAATACCTACTCTCAGAGAGAGTTTTTATGAAGATTAAATGAGCCAGTGCAGGCAGTAGAGCTCTTAGCACAGCTAGAAGTCAGTTAATGTTCAGTAAATTTTAATTATCACCATATCTATGCGTAAATTCAGAGCGATATTGCAGAATATGTAAAAGCACAGGAAATGCTCATAAACATTTGCTTATGATTAAAAATACATATGAATGTGTATATATATATTTATGAAAGGAAAAAGACTGGAAGTATACATATCAAACTGTAAACAGTAACGTCTGAGTGACAATACTTCAGTCTATTTTTATAATTTACTTTTATTGAGATAATTGACATGTAACATTGTGTAAGTTTAACGTGTACAACGTGTTGATTTAACACATTTCTATATTACAACATGATTATTACCCTGGTGTTAGCTAACACCTCTATCACATCACATAATTATTATTTCTATTTTGTAGGAGGAACAATTAAGATCTAGTCTCTTAGCAACTTTGAAGTATACACCATATTTTTGTCTATAACCTTTGTGCTGTGCATTAGATCTCCAGGACTTATTTATCTACTGGTTACAAGTTTATACCCTTAAATGACATCTCCCAAATCCCCCGCCATGCAGTGATCACCATTCTTCTCTCTGTTTTCTACAAGTTAGGCTTTTTAGATTCCATATATAAGTGATATCATATAGTATTTGTCTTTGTCTGTTCAGTCCATTTTTTTCATTTTTTTGGTTTACCAGTAGTTTCCCTTTTTAGTAAAAATTACATATGTGTGTATATTTGATATCATACACACACACACATATATACATGCATTGCTGTATATATTTTTTAAGAGATAAACTTGGTCCCCCTTTCAGAGCCCATAAGTTGAGAAAGAATCCTAGCTATGACTCACCTTTCCCTTGTGCTGAATTCGGTGAAGCCGAAGGTTGGGCTCAGGGATGGCTACAGAGTCCCCAATGAGCACTCCCCAACTCTGCACCATGTTGTACACCATCACTGCATAGCAAGGTCCGTCTGAATCTACCAGGCCAAAGGTGCTGCCAGGTCATGATGGGTTAAGGGGAAGTAGGCAAGAAAGAAGAACAGAAACAGTGGTTTTAAAATACCAGTAAAATAAGCAAGGGCTTTCTTAGGTGCTTATTAGAAAACCTATTGAGACCTCATTTGTCTTAAATATATAGTATCTTTAGAGAACATGCATAAGACTCATTAATCTGTCACTCCGCCAAGAATTTAGGACACATGCACACTGAGACCATTCAACAAACATTAATAATGAACTAGCTCAAAATGTTACAGCTGAAACATTATTCCTGGTCTACCAATTTAACTATCACGACCTTCATCAAACTCTCCGTGAATTTAATGTAATTCTACAAACTGTCGCCAAATACCCATTATGTGTCAAGCATTGTGCTGAGCAGTAAGATACCAAATCAGCAATGAGTGAGCTTACAGTCTAGCAGGAGTCAGACAGTTAAACTATCACTTACAGTACAACCGTTATAGGTGCCAGAATAACTTTTCCCTTGTGCTAAATTCAGTAAAGCCAAAGGCTGGGTGTGGGAACCCAGAGGAGAAATGTTTAAATCAAAAAGTAGGGAAGGTTTCCTTGAAGAGACCCTGAAACTGAATCTTAAAGAATGGAAAATTAGCTGGGTTAAAAAATAAAAGCTAATTCTCAATTAAGGAACAAGAGTAGGGACTGACTGAGAGGAATGCAAGAAAACTTCCTGGAAGTGAGTGGAGGACCCGGGGTGATGGCACTGATTAAACTCTAATTTTTTAAGAGTTAAAATTTTCTAAATGAAAATTCTTAACTCGTTTCCTCTGCTAGACTATAAGCAAGCTTCACTTGAGTCCTTTATGTTTCTTTTTTTCTTTACTCCCTATAACACATATAGCAGACGCTCAATAAATATTTGTTGAAATAGAGGGGGAAATAGATGGTAATGTAATCTATATCATTAGACATAGGCTACACACTACCGGCACATGGTATAGTCACAGAAGGGAAGCAAAACTCAGTCATCTGTGACCACTAACAATGCCTCTACTGCCAGAGAAAGGCCAGATGCGAGAGCACTAGTTCCAAAGGGTGAAAAAGAAGAAAGACAAAGGGAAACTCACAAGGGGACCTTCTCCTCTGTGGTAAGGCTGAACACCACCTTTCCCAGGACCACAGCACCACTGTTCACACCAGGCTGCAGCACACTCAGTGGCTTGAGCTCGAGGGTCACCTTCTGTCCACAGGCTGACTGATAGTGCCCATCACCACAAGGGCCGAGATGGGCTGGGCGCAAGCTTCCCAGCATGCTTTGCAACTTTTTGGTCTTCATCTTTCCCTGCACAGGAAGGGGAAACAGACACCAAACTGAGAACTAGTCACTCTCCTTGAGAGTCTCGTCCTTCCCTCCCGCCTACCCACTTCTAATACGATCACTACTATCTAGGCTTATTCTGTTCTGATTTATTCACCTGCAGCAGAATAAAAAAGTATGATTCAGCATTTAGACATCTTTACCTTGCTCTCAAGGAGACTGGTCAACTTGTTCAAGAATTCCAGGAGTTGTTGCTCTCGCTGCTGGGGCTCTAGCCAGGCAGGGTCCAGTGCTGCGGACCGAGAGAAGCCCTCCAGGGCCTCTCCATAATTTTCTTCATATTTATGTAACTGCACAAAAAGTAGCCAAATACCTCCCAATTATATGTATATTTAACACAAACTATGCCAGGCGGGAAGTAATAGCACCATGGACTAGGACTCTAGAGAAATAAATGTTTTCCTACCCAGTTGTTTTCCTACAACACACATCCTGAAGAGATGGTAACACCTTAACATCCTTCTTCCCGGTCAGGGTGATCGCAACCCCAAAGATGGAGTCATTTCAAAAAAGCTAACTTCCAAACTCTAAAACAATTAAGTTGCATATATCGGGTCATTCTATTTTTATATTCATAATGAACATATCAAAAAAGTCTTCTGTCTCCTCCATCCTCATATACCCTCCCACCTCCACAACCTCTTATCCTTGCTCTCCAGTGACTCCACCAGATACTGAAGTCAAACTGAGCTAGTTCTTCCTAGAAATAATTTGACTTTTCTCTTGCAGCTTGTACCCAACCTTGTCTCTACGAACATTCAACTATCCTCACAGGCTGAGACCTGGATATGTTATTTATTTGACTTGCAGATGACCACCACCCCACAAGTCTCACCGTTGCCCTGTTCAGATGAAGGTCAGGATTGCTGGAAGCTGTCCTGTCTACCTTCTCCTGCAGTGGGATAAAAAGATCATCAGTGGATCTCGCCTTAATCTTAAGGATGGCCATGCCCAACATGTCCTAGGCCACCTCTCCCTGAAAAAATTCAAGTCTCTTCCTTGTCAAAATGTTACCTATACCCACACTGCTATACAGCCATTGTTTATGTGCTATATTATGCAGTCCCTGAAACCCCAAGGATAGAAGGGTTTCTGTTAAGTGTGTGAACCTTTAAAAATATGATTATAATTTATCCATGCACTGGTATAAAGATGAAGAAATATGTGAAAGCATTCTGACAAAAAAAATGTAATAGTGAGATGATGGTATAAATGAGGGAAACTGAGGAAAGAAATGATATCAATGTAATACATTTCCTCTGCCTATGAGAATAGCTCCAGGCACAGGTAGAATCATGTTTCCATACCCAAGTCCCCTTAAATCACACATTGAAAGTCAACTTCTGATTCTCTAGTTTGTGTAGATGGCCGGAAACACATGACAGTGCTGACAAATGTGCTAGAAGAAACTGCTGGCAACGTTCATGGATATGTTCATTTTATTTTTTAAACTCGATTCATTGCCTGGCACATTGCAAAAGCACAGACAACACGAATTAAAATTGTTTAAATGGTTAGTTCACATATGTTTAAAAATATGAGTGTGGTTGAAGAAGAGTTAAAAGCAACTATTTAGTAGAGGCCAAATATAAACTTTTAAAGGAGTATATCACATTATTCTTTACAATATAATCATTAACAAAATTAAGAAATTAGAGTAAAATATAAATCCTCTGCCTAAAAGTTCCTGATTGAAAAAAGGACAGTCCCTTAACTGCAAATTTGACTCTAAGGTAACTGTAGTCTTTATTCTGCCACACCAAGCAAAGGAAGTGATGGCAAGTTAAAAAGCAATTCTCTGTATCAAGAGCAGAAAGCAAATGAAGACATGTGAATAAGGCCTAAATAAAAAGAGCTCAGAAGGCCAATGGGAACCTTCCAATCATGAGTAACCAGGCCCTCAAAGCCTGAAGGAAACTTCCATGCAAGTGGCTATCGGTATAAAAATGGCCTGAAAGCCTAAGCAAAGCATGAGCTCTGGTGAAACAATGCCTAAGAAGTGATGTAGAATGGGTTACATGCTGTCTTCTATTTTCACTTGTGGGAATTCCAGAGCCGTACTAATGGTTATTCTGAGGATAGCACTTGACTCATACTTAAGTATTAGAGTTTTCGTTTTTCTTAAAATATGAACACAAATATTAATCAGCATTATTTTAATAAAGACTTTTTTCCCATTTAAAAAAAAAAATGAATATGTTGAGATGGGCTCTGTGATTTGGTTATATATGCCTTAAAAGAAATCTAGACAGCTCAAAGAAGCTATCTAGCACTGAGGCACCATACTGCAAGTGGTTAGTAATACTCAAGATGTAAGAAGAAATGTCACTTCTGCAGACACACCTTTGCAAAATCACTCACATTGGATGCCAGCAAGCACTGACCATCCTGCTTGCTAAAGAGCCACAGGAAGACTTAATGACACTCTTGTTTCTGTTGCTGCATCTGTTCATGTGGCCTGGGTGACCATAAATACTTACTGCTTGGGCATAGGCACTAAGGGCTTGCTGGGAGATCTTAGGGTTCTGGCCAGTATTGAAGTAGAGAGAAAGGTATGCATTCCCCAGAATATCTGAAAGAGATATATAGTTTCCCATGTAAGGAAGTTAGAAGTCACCACTCCATCCTAACAAGTAAAAGCTGAACAGACTGAAAAAGCTACAACTCTTCTTGGATGGAGAGAGTACAACACAGGGCAAATTACTACCCCCAAAATTGGAGAGACAGAAAGGCAAATATAGGGATTAATGGCTTAGCGGAGCAGAAACTCACAAGCTGCCACAAGAAGCAGCGCTGGGATACAAAAAACTGAACTGTAATTGATGAATAACTAGAGGCTCAGCATGGACAAGTTTGAGAGTTAAAAACTGCAGGGGTCCCAGTCAAAAGGGGGGCCCCACAGTACTGTGAGATTTACCACTAGTAGCTCAACCAGATTCCCACATCAAATATCAGAGAAAAAAATCCCCTCCTACTTCCAGCAAGAGTAGGGGTAAAAGGAGCCATTTTGAAATATGCTAGAGCCTTCTGTTCTTAACAAGAGTTAATAAGGCCTGCCTTCAAGGGAAACTAGTTAACCTGAGCCTAACTGACCTAAAGAAGGGAAACACACACTATAGCCATCTTGTCCTTTCTAAGGAAGGAGAAAAATACTGAAACAGTAGTAGATGATATTAGAGTCCAAGTTCAAGAGCTGACCTATTTTGGTCACCCTCAAAAGTCTATTTGAAAGGCCTCACATCTAACACAAACCAGTGATGACACTACATTTAATATACTCCACACTCCATGGGGATAAAGAGGCAAACATGGACCTGAAGGAGAAAATTAAACACACTAAAATAAGCCTTGCCTTGCTTATATGGAAACATAAGCATCCTCTCCCTGAATGAAAAGATTCAAGAGTTCCTAGAATAGTGGTCCATCAAAATACCTTTTGGGCTTCTTCAAATCAAAAGTACCTTGGCTTCACACTTAGAGTCAGACTCAACAGATGAGTTCCAGATGGTTCTGGTATGCAACCATGTTTGAGAAACACTGCTCTAGAAACTGATTGGAGATCTTTTGGGAGTACTCACACCAAGAGCGGCCATCATGGATATCCATCTGCACAGCCAATTTAGCCTGCCGGACACTGTCCATGATGTGGCGAGAATGTTCATCTCCAGAGTCAGTCCGCAGCTGGCGAAGCACCATCGACAGGTTTTGAAGGGAGACTTTGTTCTTACACTGCAAATGGAGAAGACATATATTTAAGCTTCCTGATTCTCGTTCCCCTTTCCAGATCTATTCTATCTCCATCTTCTAAATTTAATTTGTCATCTTAATTCTTACTGCCATCTGTACTTTAGGCCCACATTTACAAGAATCGACTTGGTTGCTAACTTTTCTTCACTTCTCATCTACCCCTGAACCTTATCCCATCATCTTCTTTTCTCAGTCCCCTGTCCCTGTTTCCCTCATCCAGGTCTGTTCCTGCATCCTTTCTCCCTTCTCATTCTATTCTCTTTGTTCCAATGTAGTTCTACTCTGGTATTCAGACCCTAGGGAAATTCAAAGAACCAAAGGAATCCCATCCTTCCCAACTGTGTCTTCTAGATGATAGTGGGTGGCTCACATGGGTGAGGGCTCCTGAGAAGCAGGTGTGGGCAGCTGCAACATCCCCTTTCTTCCAATACACCTCACCCAGCTGGTTCCAGGCTTCCACTAGCGTGGGCTCCAGCTTGACAGCTTTTGACAGAAGCTCCTCAGCCTTAGGGCTATAGTCAGGAGTCACATTCAGTGCCTTCCCAGTCAGCATCAGAACCTGTGCCTTGCCCTGGACAGAACCTGGGAGGAAAGAGAAAAGATAAAGCTACGGCAGAAAAGAAAAACCCAGGCAGTCTTACAGATAAGACCAGGACACTTTCTCTCAAGGAATAACTCTATGCCAGCTCTAGAAATTAAATACTTGAAGAAAATCTTTATGAACAAACCACTTATTGAAAATCTGCCATATGTAAAGTAACATGTTATGTAATGGGATAACAAAGAAAGCATTACCCTTACCTTTGAGTGACTTACAATCTATTGGAGAGGACAAAGTATATACAGGGACAATTAAAACCACAATGAAAAGGAGCATACGCATAGAGTGAATGAATGAGCTTTAAAAAGTGAAAAGGAAAAAGGACAAGACCCTCCAAGTAGGAAAATGATGTAGACAAAGACAGAGGCAGAAATACACGTGATATGTTCATGGGAGAACGCATGTTCCAATCTGAATGAAACAAAAATTTCTCTTGTAAGTAGTCAGAGATAAGGGCAGGAAAAAAAGTCAGAAAATGGAAACGTGAACACCAGGTTAAGGGATGTAGACTTCAACCACTCAACAGTAGGAATCTGAAGATACCTGAGCAAAGAGGCAGACAAAAGGATAAGATTAAATGCATAAAGTAATAATTTAGAAAGATAATGGCCGTGGTCATTATATAAGTTGATTTGGAAGTAAAAAATTAGAGGCAGAAAAGTCGGTTAATAAGATCACTGCAACAGTTCAAGCAACAAGTATGATCTTTTTTATTTCATGGCATTTGCTATAATCAAACTTTAAGAAAATTCGTTTAGAGGACTAAAAGGCTGCCATCCTGCACAGGGGCCCTTAGAAAAAATATTCTGCTGCAGCAGCCACAAATAGGATACCAAAGAGCCTACAGAAAGGGAGCAAAACTCTATCACATTTCAGTGAAGGACAGAGGGTTGCATGCTTTTTTGGGACTCATACCCACTACTTCCTCCATCTGCTGCAGGGTCTTCTCCATCTCCTCCCGCACATCCTGTTGCTTCCTACCAGCATCCTCAACACTATGTGTCTCGAAATAGCACTCTCGAAATGAATATAGTTGATCCACCAATTCCTAGGAAATATAAGGATGGTACCATTAATTGGAGAGAACACCAGAACAGAAAATTTGCAACTGGCGAGAAATACTGATTCTATAACTCACCTAGGAATAACACAAGAGGCAAGCAGACATGGCTATCAAAATGCCACAAATCATGAGGGAAAGTAGCCAGTGTCCCATGCCAGTCTCTGTACTATGATGATAGTTCTCTGTCTTCCAGCTCCAATAGGGCTTCTAACAGAACTAAGCACTTCACTTACCACTTTGCAACTTGAGATAAAATGAAAGTTAATAAGATAATCCTATCTGATACTGGTCCCCAAAGTATAAAACTTTGAAATTTATCCTCAAAACTGGACTTCCTAACAAAAACAATCTTATCCCTGATTTTTCCTATGCTGGTATCTGAAAATACATGACCTTTGTGAATATGATAACATGTGAGAGTCATCACATTCCAATGACAGACCAATTTAAGTTTGATAACCTTGGTATTTTTGCAGGATTTTGTTTTGTGAAATATTTGTATTTAGAGGTTTTTTGTTTGTTTTGTTTTGTTTTTTGTCAAGTCAATTTCTGGCTCCTTTGCATTCCTTCCGAGTAAATATGCTCTTTCCTCTATCTTTGAGTCTTCCTGTGACACCAGGTTTTCCATTATCTATTCTTTCCTGAAACCAAATAACAGCAGAAATATTTAATACTATTCTATCGTCTTAACTACCTCCACAGCACATCCTAAATCCATCTGCCTGTCTCCATCCCACTATGACTATCCTGCACTAACTAAATCAGCATCATTACTTGCCTGGATTATTACAAGAACTTCTTACTGGGTCATCTTACTTCTACTCTCTCTCATTCTCTTCACTATAGTGAAAGTGACCTTACAAAAACATACATTATATCACAAACCCTCAGATAGTTGCCCACTATAGGCAGAATAAAATTTTACTATAGCGTAGAAGATTATATGATCTGACCTCCCACTACTCATCCTGCCACAAACTTTACTACCTACCACTCTCCCTCCTACAATACTCAAGCCATACTGGCTTTTATTCAGTTCCTCAAATCCACCAAGTTCAATTCTGCCTTGGGGTCTTTATACATGCTGTTCCCTCTGCCTGGACACTCATCATTTAGATCTCAGTTCAAACATCAACTTCTCAGACAGGCTTTCCCTGACTATGCAAACTAAAGTAACCTCTTCCTCCTCTGGCCACTGTTAAACCACACTTACTTTTCTTCATAGTACTTATCATTTGAAATTATGTAACCTATTCATTAACTGTCTGTTATCTGTCACTACGATTGGAATGTAAGCTCCATGATGGGAGGGACTTATCGGTTTTGTTTAGAGATATACCAGAGCACTACTACAGGGCTTGGAACATCATAGGCTCTCATTAAGTATATTGATTGAATGAGTTCATGAATCATCCTTGTCTATAACAAATACTTATGCCCTATACTTCAGCAGTCCCCAAACTTTTTGGCACCAAGGACCGGTGTTCCTATGAGAATCTAATGCCTGACAATCTGAGGTGGAGATGAGGCGGTGATGCTAGCGCTGAGGAGCTGCTGCAAATACAGATAAAGAGTCACTTGCTTGCCCATCGCTCACCTCCTGCTGTGTGGCCCGGTTCCTAACAGGCCATGAACTGGTACTGGTCCATGGTCCAGAGGTTGGGGACCCCTGCTATACTTAACTTAAAACCCAACCTAGGACAAAGGGAATGGACTAGCACCCTATGCAGCAATGCTTTTCAAATTTTATTCATGTGTATTATTTCCCAGACCCAGCCTGCAGAGATTCTGATTTCACTAGTTTTAGCAAAACTAAAAATCCTGCATCTTAACAAGTACTCTAGATGACTATAATAAAAATGGTCTGTAAAATACACTTTGAGAAATACCCTTTTATACATTCCTTCTATCCTAAGGTGTCTTTAAGATGAAATTAAAGCTTACTAATATTCTCATGAATAGCAACATCACTATCTTTTTCCTCTCCTCTACTCCATTCCTCTATTCTATTCCTGCACCTTCCCCGCTCATCCCAAGATACCCCAGATACCTAGTGCATTTACCAAAAATGAGCACAGGAAAAGGCAGCTCTCAGAAAAAATTACAACCCATTTCTCATAAAAAATTACAACACATTTCTTTTCACCCTGCAATCAGCATGGCTGTAAATTAGGAATTTTAGTCTTATTGTTTGTTTGTTTGTTTTTAGTTATTAAACAAACATGCAATGCATTGTTTGGTTTTGTTGTGATTTGTTTTCTTGGATTGAACATTTTAATAACTTTTTTCTCATGGCAAAATCAATATATATAAGTTGTTAAAATTCAAATAGGTACATGTAAAAACTACAAAGTAAAAATTCCTCATCATTCCCAATCACCTCAGGGATAACCACTGTTTAGCATACTTTTTCATATTTTTTCTATACATATAAAAACATATATACGATGATAATATTTCTAATATGGAGCCAGGGTTCAGAATCTGATTTCAGCAAATCACGCTTGGGAATAAAATTAAGCTAATTCAAGTCAACCGGGAGACAAAGCTCACACTCTAAAAAGTGTTATTATTTTAATCTGTTCAAAAATCAAAATCTCACCAATATTTAAACTTTTTCATTAGAAACTTTTAAGCAAGTTACAAGCCTGTCACAGGTCTAACGCTTAAATTCCAGGCTGTCTTAGAACACAAAGAACTGAGTTTCTAAGGTTTAAGAAAAATCTTGTATGTACTGTATACTTGAAAGCAATAATAAATTTTTTTTAAGAAAAAAGGAAAGAAAAATCTTGAGTCATTAAAAGAAAGATAAAGAGCCAAGCAACTAGTAAGCTCTCACGTACCAAGTACAAAAGACTAGTCCTGGTCAAAACCGCAGTCAACTGTGGACTGGGTGGAGTCTGGACCTCTCTGCATCTGACCCCAAACTGGGAGCGCAGCAGAGTGCAAAACAACAACTGTTAAGTGCTAAAGGAAGTAACAACAACAACAACTGTTAAGTGCTAACGGAAGTAACCAGAATACATGCAGTGCAAGGCATTATTGTGACTGTTACCAATTTCAAGGCAGAAAAGTACCGAAGAAACGGCCTTGGTAGGGATCAAATCACGTAGTAATAGCTCCCGTAGATCGGCCGTACATGTGTGAATGCTATCTGTTATGCGTGAATCCAGAAAAAAAACTTCACAAGAATGCGCAGGTATAAAGTTAGGAGCAACAAATCCTTTTCCATGCAGGACTGAAATTAAGAGCAGTCAGGTCAGAGCAAGGGGTCCCAACACACGTGTGGGCTGCTCCCCTTCCTTGGCTGCCTGCCGCTGCACCTTCGGAAGTTGTTATAGTAACACCAACACATGCAGTGTCGTGTATTTGCAAGGAACTCGCAGGTACTGCATAAACTAGGTTCCTTGCTTCTTCCCAGTACGAAAGTACATATAGGTTTTAACCCTCTGCCCCACCTGCAATTTCTGCAAGATCTGTTTGCCTTCTTCCTCTTCATCAGCCATCATTTCCCGGCCACTCTCGGCTCCTCCGCCCCCAACTGCATAACCACAGAGAACCATACCACCCTCATCCTGGAGCCACAGCGACATCTAGGCCTCTGGAGGCTTAGCGGCATTTGGGTAAAGGAGCTGGTTTTCAAAGGGCAGCGCTCCAAATCAACTTAACCCAATGCTTAAAGCTCAAAGGAGATATTCTATAATCACTTTTGAGTTCATAAACTTGTTTCTTTCCCAAATCCTGGAAACAAAATGTTCTCAGCTTAATTGCACCTATATTTTTGTTTCATATCTTTCTATTCACTTTTACCCTCAAAAAAGAAGACAGGTTAAGTCAGTGGATACCTGTGTTACAAGTTTAAAATTTGAAGGAAATGTACAGCACATGGTCAGGTAACTTGTCTGAATATTTTCCAAACTTTAGTGATTTTCTGTAAATGAGGAATTTTATTTTGAACACATTATCCTAATAAATCTACTACACTTGAGATGGTATTATGAAAGCTATCACTAACACACTAATAGTATATTCGTACACTAATTATGCTTATTTTTAGACTATATCCAGGATATGTAAGAAACAATGACTGTCTCTGGAGAGGGAAACAAAGGAACTGAGAATTGTCGGTGGTCAAAGAAAATTCTTTTAATTGCGTACACGTTTTATCATGGACATGTATTAGTTATTCAAATATAAGTGTAATTTTTAAGTAAAAATTATTTTTACTCTGTACGCATTTCTATATATTGCCCTAAAAAATTATCGCTGGGTTCAGGAGAACCCACAAAAAATGATATAAATTGAAAAATCTCCATCTCCAAATTCTTTTCACAGTGTAATTTCACGTTTGAATTTTTTCATGTACATGTATTAGCTATTCAAAAATAAGTATAATTTTTAAGTAAAAAATATTTCCACATAGACTATCTCTGAAAGAGACACAAGACACTGGCAACAGTAATTTCTTTCAGAAAGCAGAAGTGAGTGGCCAGGGGACAGGGTTGAAAGGGAGACTTCACTGGATGCCTTTGCTGTACCTTTTGAATTTGTACCATGTGACTGTATTAAACTTTTCAATAATAAGTAAGTTTTTTTAACAATCCTAACAAAGTTTCTCTTTACTTTTTAGTTTTAATTATAGCTTACTTGTACTTCAAACTGATTTTTTGAACTTGAAAAAGTAGTTTAAAGTAGAAATCATGACTGTACATAAAATTATTTCCTCAAAGCATTATCCAACAAAATTTAAAACTGTATAGGGAAGAAAAGTACTTTATACTGTAATCTATAAAATCAGTGTGATTAGCTATGAAATAGGGAGGGATGTTTTAAAACTTTTACTTCAAGATTTTTCATCTTCTTTCTCCAACACAATTTTAACTTTGGGGTAGGGAGATGAAGGGATAGGTTAAAAGGTGAAGGGGAATATAGTCAATAATAGCGTGATAACTTTTCACGGTGACAGATGGTTACTAGACAGTGCGGTGACCACATCGTAAGATATATGTCGAATCGCTGTTATGCACCTGAAACTAATATAAAATACTCTGTGCCAACTACACTTTAATAAAATTAAAAAATATAAATAAATATTTTTGAAGAGACTGTATATTCTATACTCCTATAGGGTATTCACTGCCTTTCTACAATGACTAAATATGAAATATCCTCAAATTATTTCAGTATGACCTTATTACCTAAAAAACAATGGGAGTTGGCATTTAGGATAAGTCCATTGTAATTCTTCTCAAACCAGAAAATCATAAAATTTAAGAATTACAAAAGATTTACAAGGCAATTTATTCAATCTCTCATTTTGCAAATATAGAAACAAAAGCCCAGAAATTTTTCCTTTTATTTTTTTAGTTTATAAAATGAACTTTAACATTTTATTTTTTTATTTTTCCCCTCCCCCACCCCTCCCCTCTGTTAACCACTAGTCCATTGTCCATGTCCATGAGTCTACGTTTGTTTGTCCTGCTCATTTGCTGCTTTTAGGTTTTAATTCACATATAAGTGATATCATGTGATTTTCAACCTTTTCTGTCTAGCTCATCGCTTAGTATGCTTATTTCAAGGTCTATCCATGTTATTGCAAATGGCAGTATTTCATCTCTTCTTATGGCTGAGTAATATTCCATTTTATATATGTACCAAAGCTTCTTTAGCCAATCACCTATCGTAGGACCTTTCAGTTGCTTCTAAGTCCTGGCCACTGTGAATAATGCTGCTATGAACATTGGTGTGCAAATCTCTTTTCAGGTATGAGTTTTCAAATCTTTGGGGTAAATACCCAGTAGAGGGATTGCTGGATCATATGGTAGATCAGTTCTCAGTGTTTTGAATAACCTCCATACTGTTTTCCATAGTGGCTGTCCCAATTTGCAGTCCCACCAGCAGTGTATGAGGGTTCCTATTTCTCCACATCCTCT